TTCCCTTCAGCCCCGCCCCCGTTTGAAGTCTCCTCTGAGGGGATTTGCCCGACGTTTCCCTTCAGGAGCGAAAGGAGGCGCTCTTTTGCAAAGGGAGGGATTTTTCTGCCCTCACTGTCAACGTTTGGTTTTCTATCTATATTTGCTGAAAGGAAGGCATCGAACTGACTCCGTCGCAAATATATATAAGAGAGTGGGGGGGATATTCTGCCCAGAGAGAAGCCGGTAAGCATGTGATGCGGGTGGAAAAAAAGGGGGAAAATAGAAGAAGTCTGGGGGAGGGGAAGACTTTTTGGCCTTCCTAGCCGGCACAGCAGGAGGCACACCCTTTTGTGTGTTTGTGGGTGTCCCTTACACAGACTGACCCGGCCACCCACCCCTTCTGCAAGCAGGAAGGATCCTTTCCATCTTTCGACTTGCCCAGAGAGATGGACCTACCTACCTTCCATCCATCCATCCATCCCAGCCGGGGCTCCTGCCTCTCCCCTTCCTCGCCCCCTTCCACCATCACACCAAGCTCTCTTTCCTGTTCCCTCACAGACAGCTCAGAACCCGTGAGCTGATCACTCAAGTTTTGAATATATTTTTGCCCCAATATGCATTACTTTACACATTTTTCTTAGATAGAAACGCCTTTGCCATTTTGCCATGATTCCCAGTTTGGAGAGATTCTTCTGGAGCTCTTCACAATCCTTTCTGGTCTTCATAACCCCCCCTCCCAAAAGTTTTGTGTCACCTGCAAACATGGCCACCTCATTGCTTCCCCATGTCTCCAGGTAACTGAGGAACAGGTTCAAAAAAGCACGGGTCCCAGGACAGATCCCCGGGGGCACGCTGCTCCTCACCTTCCTCCATGGTGAGAATCTGCCCCATTGACTCCTCCCTGTTCCCTGGTTCTCCACCAGTTCTCGACCCATAAGAGGACTTGCCCTCTTATCCCCTGGACTGTGGAGTCCTCTCAGCAGCCGCCTTGGGTGAGGGTGTTTGCGAACCAGCCTCCCTCTAGGGATCGCTGCTCGGTCGGCCAGAGAGCATCCAGGTGTCAAGGTACCCCTTTCCAGCTGGGCTAAGTCCTGGTAACCCCAGCTAGGGCGTAACACAGATCCTTTCCAACAAGTCTGGCCTGAAAGGTTCACTCCTTGTTATACTTAACAAGTACAGGCACCTGGGCTTTGTAGTCCGTTAAGACTCTCTAAAGGGACGTGGTGGCTAAACTGCAGAAGCCTGTGCTGCAGGGTCAGAAGACCAAGCAGTCGTATGATCGAATCCCCGCGACGGAGTGAGCGCCCGTCGCTTGTCCCAGCTGCCACCAACCTAGCGGTTCAAAAGCATGGAAATGCAAGTAGATCAATAGGGACCACCTCGGTGGGAAGGTAACAGCCATGTCTAAGTTGCACGACAGGACAAAAATTGTCAAGGGGAACCTTTACCTTAAGACTCTCTAAAGCTCTGAAAGATAGGACTCTGTTATTAGCAATCTCCTGGCCTTGCTGCTGCTCCCCCCACCCCTTTGGAAGCAGGCTCAGCAGACTTGCCGTTCAAAATACCATTCCTTAAGGATTTTTTAAGAATAATTTTTCATTGATAAAGGGGAAAAAACCACACTGTTCCCCTACCAGATTCCCCTGTGACTGAGCTATTACTACTTTAAATGTTATATCAAGGGTCTATTGCAATTTTGTCGTTCCTTAGATTCCTTAGCAGTGTCAGAAACAATCTGGGAGATAGAATTCAAAATAATGGAAAAACAATTTGAGGTGTTTCACGTTGTGGGTTTGGATGATCGTTCCATGTATCATGCTGTGGTAGAATACAGAGAGTAGCGCTAAGCAATAAGTCAGCTGCTAAGAAATGCATGAAATGAAGAAACAGATTTTTAACAAGTGAGATGTGAATTTTGTGCCAATGTTTTATCTTTTATGCCCCTTATACTTCAGGAGGAAGGTCCGACACATCCCAAGTGGAACAACAAACACCATCAGCCCCATCTGAGGTTGGATCCAAGGGGAGGCTCAAGGAGGTCTTGGAGCGTTGACGGGACAGGCCATTCCCCACAAGCAGTGGGTCCTCCCCCACACTGGAGGTGGGCGCTGGAGGGGCAGATGGGGAAGAGATTTGCATGGGGGGTGTGAGATGGCCACTCTCGGGGTGGGGGGCTGCTTCTCAGGGCATTCCCGAGGGCGCCTGGTTGTGGTTTGCACTGCTCGACCTGCTTGCAAGGCCATTTTTTTCCTCTTGAGTCTCCTCCGGAGGGAAGGGGAGGGGGATTCAAATGGGAGAGAGGATCTCTGGGGTCCGGATCCCACCCTCAGGTGCAGGGAGACCCACCGCCCCTGCAAGCCCCTATTAGGAGGGCTTTATCCAGTGCGTGTGTGCCTGTATGTGTGTAGAGGGGGCGGGGTAAGGAGACCCGGTCTTCCCCTGAATCCTTGGAGTTGCCCTGGTGGATGGAATCAAAGGAAGGCTTCCATCTCTCCCCCCCACCTCCTCCTCCCTCTAATGATGTGGGACGCTCCCTCCCTCCCTCCCTTAAAGGACCAAAGTCCCAGGTGGGGCTGGAAAGGAAAAGGGGGGAGGGGGAGGAGCCCCATTCCCAGTGACTTGGGGGGGCAGGCAGGAGAAGTGGGGCTGGCAAGGGAGAGGGGACCACCCTGCGCCTTCCCTGTGAGGGGGGGGACATCTCTTGGACCTCTTGCTCTTTTGCACAAACACACACACACACACACACACACAGTGTCTGTGTCTCTGTGTGTCTCTCTGTATGTGGTGTGAGTGCGTGTATTGTGTTTGTCTTTTCCTGAAATATGCCTATGCTATGCTATTTCCTGGATGATCTGGCAGAGAGGAGGGCTAACCGGATCCCTCTCAAGACCAGATCCTGAGCTGAGGATCATCTGCAAGAGGGGGGGCCGGTTTCCCTGTTGCATTGCTTGTGTGAACACAGACCCCCTTTTCCCGAAAGGCAGGCAGGAGAGTATCAGAACAGAGAAGGGGGTGGACTTTCCTCCCTGGGATCTTTCTGGAGCGGAGGCTGAAAGGGAGATCCATCTCCCCAGGAACGGTCTTTTCTTGGAAGTCG